ATAACCCATAGTTGGGAAGGTGCTGTAATAACCTATAGTTGGGTTATATTTGGTGCAATTTTAACCCAACTATTTTAATAAAGTTATAAAGAAAGAAAACGTTTTGAAAAAAAAGGAAAAAAAAAAACTAAAACAGAATGAAAAAACAAACAGAATGGGTCTATACATCACACATTAAAGAAAAATATGATCTAATTCACAAATTTCAGTTGTTTTTAAAGCCTTTTTGTAAAATATGTAATAATAATATATGTAAAATAGTTTAAAAATAATACTGCATTTCAGTGAGCAAAGATTTGTCTGAATGTGAATTACTTTCAGATAAGGAATCTAGTCTTTCCACAATTAATAATATCCCAGCTAAAGATAAAATTATTTACTTGGGCCCCTCTGTTTGTAAAACTGAAAAAGACAGATGCTCTATTAATTTTTATCCTATTGTTGAGAAAACTCGTGCAATGCTTTTTAATGCACACACCTAACCCTCACAGTGACGTCACTAGCTCTATTGAGTGCATTGTGTGTCTGACATTGCGTCTCTGAGATATTCAATCTCTGCTTGCATCAACAAGGCTGCATCCAGATACTAATGACTATAGTCAGATTGTAGTTATACAAGTTTAAGATGATTGTAGCTTAACTGTTAACAAAAATATTCTGAAAAAAACACTGATTGGTGGTTCAACGAGTTGATTAATTATTTTTTGATATGTGAATTAAAAATAATTATAGAAGAGAATAACATTTGAAAAATCGTGTAAGGTGTGTGTCAAATATGAAAATGAGAAATTCTTTTTCACAACAAAACACTTAAAAACATTTTGTTTTAAAGTCAATAATTAATCAGCCATGCCTAATATTGTAAAAGAAAATTCAGAGCCATCCAGTTTGGTAAAATATATATTTTATTTTATTCTTCATACAAAGCAAAAGTATGAATGTTCAGTATTTAATTATCTAGAAACATCTGTTCCATTTTTTTTTCTCTTTCATGGTGTAAAATTAATTTGATACCACAAAATACTTGGTTTACATGTCTTCCTCATCATTTGTACATAGAGATCATTTCTAGTCTATTTATTTGTGTTATACTCAGAGTAAGACCAACATCTGGATATCTCTGTGAGGTTGAATAAAACTCAACCGTTAAACAGACGCACACTGCCTGACCGTGAGCAAAGCTTTGAAACTTGGCTCATACCACCTTTGACAGATCAGTATTCATATGCGATTCACATGTAATCTTTGACAAACTCTACCCAGGAAAAAAAAACAAGCTCTTCTTTGATATCCCGGGACAACTGTTTCTGAACCAAAAAACCAATTGCACTGTTTAAAAATCACAGGAGGCCCCGTGGGTGAGCATTTCGATGACAATCCGCTTGACCCCATTTCTCTTCCATCATCCAACTGATTTGCTTTTAAATCAAATGTGAATGCAAGAAACGAGCTTTGATGATTTGATTACAGTTGGAGGAGAAACTTCGCATTGTTTCTCTTTTTCCTTTTCCGAACATTTGATTGCTTGATGAATTGAATATAGTAGGAAAAATGCCCTGGGAGCTCTCGCCGCTTAATTTGGACTCAAAGGCCAACAAGAATTGTATGGCTGTGTCCGCGCAGCTGATAAATATTACAATCTCCTCTCTAAATGAAAGGAAGTTGGCTTAGCATAGCACAGGACTGGTTCGAGGCACAGAATGTTGTAAAACTAAACAAAAAGAATCAGTGAGCTGATACAGAACGCTTTCATTGAATTGTTTTCGAATGCATCCATCCAAAAACAAACAATCAGGCAAACCTCTTCCCTCTGCATTTCATTTTCCAGTATATTAAATAGGGGGTGAAAAAGGCGAAGTTTCAGTACATTCGTAATGCTATATTCAAATGCCTTACAACCTGCATGTGACCTCGCTCTTTGAAATTCTGCTTCCGACCTGACGTTAAAGCTGAGGTGTGTTTAAAAACAATTAAAAGTGGCATGTTTTACCTTTTAAACCCTACATCTTATGCCTCAATCACACAATAGCAACAACTTTGTAACTGCCTGATGCTCTAGGTGGCGACCTGCTGCGAACGCAGGTCTGTTTAGGTATACAGTGCACCTGAAAGTATTCATAGCGCTTCACTTTTTCCATATTTTTTTATGTTACAGCCTTATTCTGAAATTAAATTCATTTATTTCCTCAAAATTCTATACACAATATTTCATAATGACAATGTGATTTTAAAAAAAAATGTATCAAATTTAATTAAAAAAAAAAAAAAATGTACATAAGTTTTCACAGCCTTTGCCGTGAAGCTCTAAACTGAGCTCAGGTACATTCTGTTTCCACTGATCATTCTTGAGATGTTTCAGCAGCTTCATTGGAGTTCACCTGTGAAAACTTCAGTTGATTGGACATGATTTGAAAAGGCCATTTACCTGTCTGTATAAGAGCCCAGGGTTGACAGTGCATGTCAAAGCACAAACCAAGCATGAGGACAAAGGAATTGTCTGTAGACCTCTGAGACAGGATTGTCTCGAGGCACAAGGCTGGGGAAGGTTACAGAAACATTTCTGCTGCTCTGAAAGTTCCAATGAGCACAGCGGCCTTCATTATCCATAAGTGGAAGATGTTTGGAACCACCAGGACTCTTTCTAGAGCTGGTCGGCCATCTAAGCTGAGTGATAGGGGAGAAGGGCCTTAGTCAGGGAGATGATCAATAATCCGCTGGTCACTGTCTGAGCTCCAGCGTTCTTCTGTGGAGAGAGGAGAACCTTACAGAAGGACAACCATCTGTGAAGCAATCCACCAATCATGCCTGTATGGTAGAGACAGACGGAAGCCACTCCCTGCCTGGTATTCGCCAAAGGCATCTGAAGCACTCTCAGACCATAAGAAACAAAATTGTCTGTTCTGATGAGACTAAAATTGAACTCTTTTGAGTGAATGCTAGGCGTTACGTTTGGAGAAAACCAGGCTTCGCTCATCACCAGGCTAATACCATCCCTACAGTGAAGCATGGTGGTGGCAGCATCATGCTGTGGGGATGTTTTTCAGCAGCAGGAACTGCAAGACTAATCAGGATAGAGGGAAAGATGAATGCAGCAATGTACAGAGACATCCTGATTGAAAACCTGCTTCAGAATGCTCTTGACCTCAGACTGGGGCAATGGTTCATCTTCCCGCAGGAAAATGACCCAAAGCACACCGCCAAAAAAATCAATGGAGTGGCTTCACAACAACTCAGGGAATGACCTTGAGTGGCCCAGCCAGAACCCAGACCTAAATCCTATTGAACATCTTTGGAGAGATCTGAAAATGGCTGTACACAGTCGCTTCCCATCCTACCTGGTAGATCTTAAGAGGCACTGAAAAGAGGAATGGGCAAAAACTCCCAAAGACAGGTGTGCCAAGCTTGTGGCATCATATTCAAAAAGACTTGAGGCTGTAATTACTGCCAAACGTGCATCAACAAAAATATAGATTAGATAAAATATAGATAGTCAGATTTCATTTTTTTCATATTGTCATTTTGGGGTATTGTGTGTAGAATTTTGAGGAAATAAATTAATTGAATCTATTTTGGAATAAGGCTGTAACATAAAACAATGTGGAAAAAGTGAAGTGCTATGAATATTTTCTGGATGCACTGTATACAGCACAGATACAACCAGCCTCTGAGCAAGCTTAGAGAGGATCACGTGAACTCTACAGATTCTCATATTGGCTGTGGCTCAAGAAAGTCACCCTTCATTTGCATAAAGTTAAAGAATTCCCAACTTCGGCGTCACTCGACATGCCCACCTGGTCACCAAAGGTCGATGTCATTAGCTCTTCGTTGAAACAAACGATCGCTTGTTGCTTTGCCATTGTGAGTTGCTCATAGTTAGAATGAGGCTTTAGAGCTGATTCTAAATCAGATGCTCAAAACTGCATTAAAATAAACCCAGTCATTCATCTTGCCTTCAAGACAGCCGCCATCTCAGCGGTCACAGGATGAATTTCACAGATAAAGAGCGACCGACTTTTTCTCCTCGCTTTCAAGTAGAACGACAAACAAAAGCACATGGAGGCTCGCATGAGAAAAAGATGAGGCATCTCAATGCAAGCTTGTTCAAATTTGGCAAGACGACGAGAACTGAGATGCACTGGAAAACGTGTTTTGATGGGGTTTCATTTTCTAGAATGAGTCACATTTGGATGAAGCTTCTTCATAGAGATATAGGGGCCTACCATGTATGAGGCGTATGTCATTTGGCTCTTGCTTTTGAAACAAATCCAATGCTATCTTGACCTTTGAACCTTTCAGACGGCGAAGCAGACCATTTCTAAAGCCAATTGATCTGTTTAGATATGTTACGCGATTAGCATAATGACGACATGCTACGATTTAGCCATCGACGGATTGGTCATTCATTACAGGACCCTGCGAGTGAAAGGCCAGCGGTCGGCTTTAAACATGAGTGACACTGTAAGTAGCAATTAGGGCTATTGATCGTCATCTTATTGAGTAAAGGGACATTTCAGATCAGCTCTCCTGCTTATCAGCCAAATGTAGTGGGATTCAGGCCAACATGGAGTGTAACGAAACATGAAATCCGGTTAGAGAATTGGAAAAGATCATTCCCCCGCCTCTGTCACAAAGGTACACACCAGAACTGAAAGAGATGCACAAATGCACGGTTTGTAAATGCACGATACCCGTAACAAACTGTTTGTGTTTGCTTGTTTCGAATTTTCGAACTCGGAAGCACCATTAAATTCATTATGAATAGAAATACGCACAGCAAATCAAAAACGTGGAATGTCGGCGGTGAGACTAGAGTTGGGCCGGACGTTATGTACAACATGGTTAGGCAGCTTAGTGAATTAATTGCTTAGAAATTAAAAATAAATTATTATAAAATAGATTTCTGTACATTTTACATATATATAGCAATTATTTCAATGTCTTTTTGCCATTTCAAATACACAGAAAAAGAAAAGAAAAACAACAGGTCCTCCAATTCATCATTAATCCCAACCAAAGTTATGCCCAGTCATCTGGTAGAACTTCATGTTGAAAGGCCTGTAGAAGTCTCGAAGTCTCTGCACGACCTCCGGGTCAATGTTTGGATGGGTTCGCCCTTTGGTTTTACCCAGGCAATGGGGTTTGCTGCTGCCCTCTGCCTTTTTGAGACAAGGGAAGCCCTTGGTCTGGTTGAAGTAGAAGTGTTTGTCTGTGATGATCCTCTTCAGGCCTAAGAAGTCCTGCACGCGGCCCAGTTCTCCAGCCGGGTCGCTGATCAGCCTCTCTCCACTCACAAACAGGATCTGGCTCATGGGGAAGAACTGCAGCCAGTTGTCCAGGTGTTTGGCGTAGATGCCGATCTGAATGGCGCTCCACGACGTGTCAATCAACCCTGTAGTCCTGTTTTTGAATGTCAGGCTCTCAAAAGTAGGAATGTCAGGCTTCTTAGACAGAGTTTGCGTGTAGTCAGAGATGGCTCTTGTGACGGGGTCCCGGACAACCACTATCAGCTTGGTGTCACGGGACATGGCGTAGATCCTGGACGGAGCTTCGCGGGTGACAAAGTAGCTTGGTGTTTTCTCCATGGTGATCTGGCCCTCCAGGGTCTTCGGCATCAGGTCCCTGTGGAGAGAAAAAGAGAGGGGGTTAAGATGGAGACCTAATGAAAACAAAACTTTGCATAACGCAATCAAACAGATGGAGCATGTGGCGTTCCTCAATCAATGAGCCGATTCAAGGCCATGATTCTGGGTCAAATGTGATTAGCATTGGTTGCTAAACAAAACATGCATTCAAACATCACAAACCAACATTTTATATGACATATGACTAGGAATCTGTGAAATCCACATTTCCACAGATTTTTAGCCCATCATTGACTATTTATTTGCTTTTGTATATGTGTGTAAATTTATATTAATTCAGTTTTTAAATTCATTTCAGTAATATTATTGACTAATATGAAAATGTTCATATAATTTATTTACAATGCAGTTTGTAAAGTAATATTTTCGGTCTTTTGGTAGAGATATTATATGATAAACTTGCTTTATTAAACAAATAAGTAAATCTAACTGTATTTGCATTGTAAACATTAAATAAAAGTTAAAATTGTATTACTTTTTATTCCATTTATTAGGTTTTTTAGTTATGATACTCACAAAATCATTTCGCATAAATTCGCAGAATTTTTTATTTTTTTTTTACAAAAATTCTTAGCAGAAATAGCAAAAATTGTCCACAGATTCTGTCTGGCCCTACAGATGACTCATTCTAAATAGTGGGAGCTTGCTGATGTGTTTTCTCCATCAAACTTTTATGTTTCCACTAAATCTAACTTCATATCAAGCAGCTTTTCTGTTAAAAGAGTAACAACCAAAACTTAACATAAAGTTAACATTTAATTAGTTAATCCACTTGGTACAAAGCCAGTTGTCCTATAAAGCCCTGTTTGAATCTAGTTTTTACAGCATTCCAGTGTATGACCTAAACCTGTGGCACCTGCAGCCGTATGCACTGTGCGTACCTACCATGAGAGAGCACAAATCAATGGCACTTTATTTATTTATTGCATAATTTAAATTGATTATTAAGTAGTTTACACTACGATATATTGACAATGCAAGAACAAATAAAAATAAATAAAGGTGTTTGTTTGTTTGTTTGTTTTAAAGTGTGTATGTACTTGCATGGTGGGGGAGGGGTATTGAAATCTATTGGCTTTAGTTTTGGTTGGGTTTTTTCCACACACTAAAAACGACAATCCAAATAGCTATTGCTTAAATCAAGGTTAAAAATGAGAAAACTCTCTTTAAAATAACTAAATTTAATTGAGAAATTTGCCAAAAGGCCTAAAACTAATGAGACAAATTCTGCTTCCCCACATGAGAACGCAGTCTCATCAGCACCTAAGCCAGGGGAACTCCAGGCCCAGCCCATCTCCTCACATGAATCCACTACCATTCAAGGTGTTTTAAACAATTTTATCTGACAGACCGGCACAAATAAGCAGACATCTTCATTCTCACAACAAGTTTCTGAGTTCTGTCACCCTTCCAAAAAAAATTGAGACTGGTTTTGAAGCACTTCATGGTGGTGGTAGATTTGTGCGTACCTTTGAATAAAATCTTGCAGGCGCCCCTGACCTCAACGATAGCGTTATACTTGTGCTGACTAACCAGATCTGAACAATGATGGACACTTCAAAAGGGCAAATGACCATACACTTAGCAAAGACCTTCAAAACATATGTGCATGCCACATAGATGTTCTTCGGCTTGTTTAAAGAGAGCAAGAAGCTTTTAAGGCAGTTACAGGGTGAAATGGATAGGACCTCAATCAAGGGACTTTTTTTTTTTAAATGAAAGTGAACATGCATGTTAGCGCCAAATAGGCTTGGGTTTCACAACCAGCCCAATCAGGAAGAGTGGATTATAGTGGAAGAGGTGATAACAGAGGACTTTGATGGACACATCTGGGTATGGATCCTATTTCACTGGCACACGCGCTCAGAAAATGTTGACATGTAAAAATGTACAGAAAATAAAACAACAACAAGTTTTAAGGAGGGCTAAAGATAACAACGTGTGAATTTCAGCCACACTCAGACATCAACAGACCCCGAATGAGCCTCCTTAGGGTATCAGTGTGCACAGATAAAGCTCTTGTTGGTCTGTTGTCTCTGGTGTATCGAGTCTTGTTGTTAGCACCATGGCTAATTTACTGCCTCACTGTGAAGTGCTCTGTCAGCATCTAGTGTAATCCTGCTTTGCGTGTTTATACCCTGCAGAAATGAGCGCCCGAGCAATTCAAGAGTCTGCAAACAATTTATTGAGGGATCTCACACACACTTCAGCAGATCACAGTTTATTCTATCTCGCCGTGCAGTGTGCAGCAAAAGCCATACTATTTTTACCACTGGTGTTCACTAGTTAGAGGTGAGAGCCCCTCAGCACCAGAGCAGAGAGAGGTGTTATGATAAACAAAACCACATTTCAGAGGGGACAACTTTCAAAGTATATGTATATGCGCCAGGTATTGCTGCGGACCTAGATGTTTTTTATTTGATGTACAGCAACTGCAAAGCACCAACTGTCTGTGATTTTTAAGATCACACAAATAAAAATATGTAAAAAAAAATAATACTATTTGCAAGAGAAAATAAAATCAGGCAGAGCTCAATTCAGAAAGCGAGAACCGCCTGAGGTTGCAGGAGGCAACATGTTGATTTATTTGATGGAAAACCGTTGGCAGATTTGTGTGGTTACATGGCTTCTCTAAAGAGCTGGCCACAGATCCAATTATGATAATATCAGTTTGATTACTGCTCTGTCAGAACACTGGAGTGAGAGTTTGAGAGAAGAAACACACACACACACAAAAAAACCTCATTAATCTCTGTGAAATGAAAACAGATTATGTTAGTGCCTTTTTATGCAATGACGAACTCTCTCTCACACACGGCTGCATGGTTTAACTGTTTATTTCTAGTCTCGAAGACAAATATTTAACCCTCAAAGTGTGTGATTTATGGAAAACAACTGTATTAAAGGTGGCACAGTAAGTAGCACTGTTGACTCGCAGCAAAAACGTCACTGGTTTGAGCCTAAGCTTGGTCAGTTGGCATTTCTATGTGAAGTTTGCATGTTCTCCCCATGTTTGCGTGGGTTTCCTCCGGGTGCTTCAGTTTACCCCACAAGTCCAAAGACATGTAGTATTGGTGAATTATGTAAGCTAATTTGTCAGTAGTGTATGTGTGTGAACGAGTGTGTATGGGTGTTTCCCAGTACTGGGTTGCAGCTGGAAGGGCATCCACTGTGTAAAACATATGCTGGATAAGTTGGCGGTTTGTTCCATTGTAGCGACCCCTGATGAATAAAGGGACTTAGCCGAAAAGTAAATAAACGAATGAATGTATTTACTAATAATTGCACAACAGAAGCAAACCAGTTGAATGTGTGCAAGTGTGGTGCTAATGAGGTGAGAGATTAATGCAAGCTTTTACTGTTAAACAAACCAGCTACTTACTGTGCCATAGCAAGAAAAAACTAAATGTCACACATATGCAAAAATTACTTCAATGAATAAACTGACTGCATGCGTTATTATAATGAAGGACATAAACATAAAATGAAATACGAGTTTAAATAAAGAGACATATAATTTAGAATAATATTTGTAGTTAATCACTTAATTTTTTAAATATTGGGAGGTAATTATAAGCTAAATCTCATTAGATTTTAAGTAGACTGTTAGGTTGGGGTTAGTGAAGGTTGACATGTACTTGCAAAGTTTCTTATAGTCAGTTAAATGTCTGTTTAGAAGCAGAATCAACAGATATTAAGCAGACAGTCTACTAATACTCAAATGGACCAGCAAAATAAAGTGTTACCTATTGGAATTTTGTATTGCTATTTTGGTACTTCATACATATACACATACAGTGGGGGAAATAAGTATTGAACACAGCACCATTTTTCTCAAAAAACATATTTCTAAAGGTGCTGCTGACTTTTCACTGGATGTTGTTAACAACCAAAGAAATCCATATATGAAAAGAAAACTTATTTAGAAATTAGAAATCTAATTAGTTTACAAATTATTTTATGTGTGATAAAATGAAATGACACAGGAAATAATGTTGATGGCAGCTTAAAGACATCTCTCATGTGGAGAAAAAAAAAATCACAAGAACTGCTCAGGTGTGAGTCTGTTTTTCGCAGATATCAACACTGTAAAACTCTTGATGGTTCTGTCGGTCTCGTCTATCAAATTGACCTTCATTTTGTATTCTACATTGGATTTGAGTCAGGTGATTGGCTAGGCCATGCTTCAGCTTGATTTTCTTTCTCTGTAAGCATTTGAGAGTTTCCTTGCATGTGTTTTGTACCATTGTTTTGCTGAAATGTCAACACTGGTTTCATTTTCAGCATCCTGCTAATGTAGATGAGACTGAAGCAGCTAATATTAATTTACACTGACGAAGGGCAGAGGGTTGCTGAAGAACTACTGAGAGATTTCAGCTGCTGTCTGGGCTTTCATTGTCTTTTTACACCTCCCTTCCTTCATGTGTTCAAAACTTTAGTCCTGTGTCATTTAATTTTATTACACATAACTTCATCTGTAGACTGTTTAGATTTGTTTTCTTTTCATATATGTATTTATTTGGTTGCTACCAATATCTGGGGAAAATTTCAAGTTAACAGCACCTTTAGAAATATATTTTCCGAGAAAAATGATGTGTTGAATACTTATTTCCCGCACTGTACAGTGCATACTTGATGTAGAGGAAAACACCAAAAAAAAATATATATATATATATATATATATATATATATTTTTTTTTTTTTTTTTTTTTTTTTTTTGGTGTTTGCAAATATCAAACCAGAATCTGCATGAAACTATATGGTTTTTGTGGACTCTAGTGCGATTTTCAATTGTTGTGAAAGCAATCCGGCCTACTAGCTGATGTGAACTACTACTGATGATGCTGCCTAATCTACAATGTTAACCAGCTGCCACTATTGGGGGCAGGGGGAGCGAGATGGAAACTTAAATGTGAACCAGGAAAAGCTGGAGAAGAAAATGTTACAAGTCACAAAAAAAAAAAAAAAAAAAAAACT